TCAGCCCGCTAGTGCTGTGTGTCTCAGAAAATGGAACCTATATGGTAGATCATATGTGCAAAATATGGGAGGAATACCTGCCCAAAGTCAGGAGCTGTGTGCATAACATTGCTCCAGCCCAGCCAAGTACAGCCCAATATATTCAGAAATTCATCTGCAGCTGCACAAATCAATCAGCCCGCTAGTGCTGTGTGTCTCAGAAAATGGAACCTATATGGTAGATCATATGTGCAAAATATGGGAGGAATACCTGCCCAAAGTCAGGAGCTGTGTGCATAACATTGCTCCAGCCCAGCCAAGTACAGCCCAATATATTCAGAATTCATCTGCAGCTGCACAAATCAATCAGCCCGCTAGTGCTGTGTGTCTCAGAAAATGGAACCTATATGGTAGATCATATGTGCAAAATATGGGAGGAATACCTGCCCAAAGTCAGGAGCTGTGTGCATAACATTGCTCCAGCCCAGCCAAGTACAGCCCAATATATTCAGAATTCATCTGCAGCTGCACAAATCAATCAGCCCGCTAGTGCTGTGTGTCTCAGAAAATAGAACCTATATGGTAGATCATATGTGCAAAATATGGGAGGAATATCTGCCCAAAGTCAGGAGCTGTGTGCATAACAGTGCTCCAGCCCAGCCAAGTACAGCCCAATATATTCAGAAATTCATCTGCAGCTGCACAAATCAATCAGCCCGCTAGTGCTGTGTGTCTCAGAAAATGTAACCTATATGGTAGATCATATGTGCAAAATATGGGAGGAATATCTGCCCAAAGTCAGGAGCTGTGTGCATAACATTGCTCCAGCCCAGCCAAGTACAGCCCAATATATTCAGAATTCATCTGCAGCTGCACAAATCAATCAGCCCGCTAGTGCTGTGTGTCTCAGAAAATGGAACCTATATGGTAGATCATATGTGCAAAATATGGGAGGAATACCTGCCCAAAGTCAGGAGCTGTGTGCATAACAGTGCTCCAGCCCAGCCAAGTACAGCCCAATATATTCAGAAATTCATCTGCAGCTGCACAAATCAATCAGCCCGCTAGTGCTGTGTGTCTCAGAAAATAGAACCTATATGGTAGATCATATGTGCAAAATATGGGAGGAATACCTGCCCAAAGTCAGGAGCTGTGTGCATAACAGTGCTCCAGCCCAGCCAAGTACAGCCCAATATATTCAGAAATTCATCTGCAGCTGCACAAATCAATCAGCCCGCTAGTGCTGTGTGTCTCAGAAAATGGAACCTATATGGTAGATCATATGTGCAAAATATGGGAGGAATACCTGCCCAAAGTCAGGAGCTGTGTGCATAACAGTGCTCCAGCCCAGCCAAGTACAGCCCAATATATTCAGAAATTCATCTGCAGCTGCACAAATCAATCAGCCCGCTAGTGCTGTGTGTCTCAGAAAATAGAACCTATATGGTAGATCATATGTGCAAAATATGGGAGGAATATCTGCCCAAAGTCAGGAGCTGTGTGCATAACAGTGCTCCAGCCCAGCCAAGTACAGCCCAATATATTCAGAATTCATCTGCAGCTGCACAAATCAATCAGCCCGCTAGTGCTGTGTGTCTCAGAAAATGTAACCTATATGGTAGATCATATGTGCAAAATATGGGAGGAATACTGCCCAAAGTCAGGAGCTGTGTGCATAACATTGCTCCAGCCCAGCCAAGTACAGCCCAATATATTCAGAATTCATCTGCAGCTGCACAAATCAATCAGCCCGCTAGTGCTGTGTGTCTCAGAAAATGGAACCTATATGGTAGATCATATGTGCAAAATATGGGAGGAATACCTGCCCAAAGTCAGGAGCTGTGTGCATAACAGTGCTCCAGCCCAGCCAAGTACAGCCCAATATATTCAGATATTCATCTGCAGCTGCACAAATCAATCAGCCCGCTAGTGCTGTGTGTCTCAGAAAATGAACCTATATGGTAGATCATATGTGCAAAATATGGGAGGAATACTGCCCAAAGTCAGGAGCTGTGTGCATAACATTGCTCCAGCCCAGCCAAGTACAGCCCAATATATTCAGAAATTCATCTGCAGCTGCACAAATCAATCAGCCCGCTAGTGCTGTGTGTCTCAGAAAATGGAACCTATATGGTAGATCATATGTGCAAAATATGGGAGGAATATCTGCCCAAAGTCAGGAGCTGTGTGCATAACATTGCTCCAGCCCAGCCAAGTACAGCCCAATATATTCAGAAATTCATCTGCAGCTGCACAAATCAATCAGCCCGCTAGTGCTGTGTGTCTCAGAAAATGGAACCTATATGGTAGATCATATGTGCAAAATATGGGAGGAATACCTGCCCAAAGTCAGGAGCTGTGTGCATAACATTGCTCCAGCCCAGCCAAGTACAGCCCAATATATTCAGATATTCATCTGCAGCTGCACAAATCAATCAGCCCGCTAGTGCTGTGTGTCTCAGAAAATGGAACCTATATGGTAGATCATATGTGCAAAATATGGGAGGAATATCTGCCCAAAGTCAGGAGCTGTGTGCATAACAGTGCTCCAGCCCAGCCAAGTACAGCCCAATATATTCAGAAATTCATCTGCAGCTGCACAAATCAATCAGCCCGCTAGTGCTGTGTGTCTCAGAAAATGGAACCTATATGGTAGATCATATGTGCAAAATATGGGAGGAATACCTGCCCAAAGTCAGGAGCTGTGTGCATAACATTGCTCCAGCCCAGCCAAGTACAGCCCAATATCCTCCAATTTGTATGCTCACGCTCATGAAATCGCAAATTTGGCGCTTCATGAATATCCGAACAATCCAACTTCTTTTCCCCTACTCATCTCTGCAAGATGACAATATTTTCCGGTGCTGTGTATGATCTGTTTTCGTATTTGTACTCGCTCATACACTCAATGGTTGTGCATTCTTCCTTTTGAACTACGTTGTCGACTCTTTCTGTGACTTATTCTTTCCTGTACACTTTTATATCTCACTATCGTACCGTTTCACCCCTCGCGCTACGCCCAGTTGCTCACTTAGAGGCTTGGTGCGCGTTGCAACACTTACTAGACTACCTGGCTTGTGTGATCGCTGCCCGATCGGGGCGTGTGGCTGAGACCACGTGCATGCCTACTAAATCGGGAAGGAGAGCCAAACAGCGCCACAGTGTTCGACTCGCGTCGTGCTCCCTCCACTCGCTCTTCCTTCCTCCTCGTCGCCCGTCTCGTCGTGCTCTTCGACTCCTCCGCCGTGCTCGCCGTCTCCTCCGCCGTGCTCGCCGCCTCCCTCGTCCTCGCCGCCTCCCTCGTGCTCGCCGTCTCCTCCGCCGCGCCCCGATCGGGGCGTGTGGCTGAGACCACGTGCGTGCCTACTAAATCGGGAAGGAGAGCCAAACAGCGCCACAGTGTTCGACTCGCGTCGTGCTCCCTCCACTCGCTCTTCCTTCCTCCTCGTCGCCCGTCTCGCCGTGCTCGCCGTCTCCTCCGCCGTGCTCGCCGTCTCCTCCGCCGTGCCACCCGTCTCCTCCGCCGTGCTCGCCGCCTCCCTCGTGCTCGCCGCCTCCCTCGTGCTCGCCGCCTCCCTCGTGCTCGCCGCCTCCCTCGTCGTCGCCGCCATCACCCTCTCCGTTGGGTGCCGATGCCGTGATAGCTGCATTCGCAGGTAAGTTGCTACGCTACGCAATCGAGCAACGGCTCACTCCTATCTGTAGGTCCTCGGTCGCCCCGTCTCCCTCATTCCCTCTCCATCGCTCGCCGCCCGTCTCCTCGTCGCCCCCGCGCTTCTCCGCACACGCTGCGGTCGCCGCCGCTGGATGGAGTTGGTTAGGGGCTTAGCGATGGGTTGAAAGTCGCGGTACGTCCCTCTCTCTCTCCTACACACCCCATGCCGTGGCCGGTTAGGGCTGGACTCGTCCGCCCTGACCGGTAGAGGTCCATCGCCCGTTCTCGAACGGCAACGATGGCCTCTCCTCTGCGTTCGCCTTCGGGCGCGCAGTTGCACGGCCGCTGGGGCTACGCTTATCGTTTTTCTTCCCTCCGCCCAGCCTGTCGCCCCGCACCCGGATTACCTCGCACCCTTGGACTTGGACCTCCCTCCGGACCTGGACCTCCCTCCGGACCTGGACCTCCCTCCGGACCTGGACCTCCCTCCGGACCTGGACCTCACCCCGGACCCGGACACGCACCCTCTTCCCTTCCCCCCTGTTATTCGCGCGCGCACCTACTTCGCCGGCTGGTTCCTCCGTCACACGTGTAGCATCATTACCTTTAGCTCCAGTACCACTATACGTAGAGACCATGTAACGCGTCCCCTATTAGTGAAACTTGCCGTTTAGTTACAGTACTACTACCAGTATCCGTAGACACTATGTAACGATCCTACGGTCCTTTCGTGAAACTTGCGCGTCGTCACCGAAAATACATCCGTCGGTTCGACGTGCCGTCCCTCCTTTTCACGGGCCGAATGCTAGACGAGTCTGCGTTTGTTGCCGCTGTGTGCGCACACGCAACTCCCCTTTCCGTGCCCCGCTTCGGAGGATGGCGTTGAAGCTGTCGTGCGTCGCTATTCGACGCTCGGTTGCCTTCTTCGCGCTTCAAAGAAACACGACGCGAGTCGACCACGTCGTCCCCCGTCATTGGCACGCGCATCCCACGTCAGTATGGATCTGCGTGCGGTGCCTGAGCAAACGCCGACTCCCATCTCATGGACGGCTGTCAGGCCCCCGCCTTCTCCCCCTCCCTCCGTCAACAATGTGTCCTTTTCGGGACGCGGCGCGTTGTGCGGCTGACGACACACTGTCACCCTTGTCGCCTCCAAGCTCCCACTCAATCTCGGCCGCCCCATTTCCCCAATGCGTCATTCCCGACTGCGCCGACCGGTGGACGCGTGCTGGCGCATCGAGACTGTTTTCACGTCAATTCGTTCTACGCGTACCGTCCTAGCTCGAACCCAGATCCGGTTCGCTTTTGCGCTGTCATCGTCATCCCCGGACGCGCGTTCTGGACCTCTCTTCACCTTCCCCTCTGCTCGACGCCCATTCTCCATATAATTCTCGCACATCCGTCTGTGTCCCTTCGCCTTCCCATCCTCATTCGCCCTCGAACGCTTCGCCATGCCTAACCAGTGAGTCAGTGTCTTCCTCCGCCCGGTGTCTGTGTCTGACAAGCCCTTAGAACGTTCTTGTGCAAACTATGTGGATGCGTCGTTTATGCGCCCAGCCGTGACGCGCATCGACGGCAGAAGCACCAAATATGTTCGGACTGCGTGTACCCAGACGGGGAACGCGTTACGCTGGAGAAGGATTTCGCAACGGGCAAGTACCATTGTCGGCGCTGCAATTACTCCAATGCAGTCATCCGTTACATGCGCGTAAGTGACCTCTTCATCCTCGTCTCAGCATTCCCTAACAGTCTACCAGACCCACATATCGGCGTGCCATGCGCTCTCGAATCCCGACGATGAAGATGCTGCGTCGATTGAAGAAGTCGAGGACGGACTAGGTCCACCGCCGTCGCAGCTAGCACGTCCGTCGCAATGCCCTCCGTCGCAATGCCCTCCGTCGCAATGCCCTCCGTCGCAGCCCCCTCCGACGCAGCCCCCTCCGGTCCATTCCCAACGTCGCAGTCGCTCTTCGCCACCTCCAGTGGCAGTCGGAACTCTATGCGACCCTGATGATCTTTTTGCCCCAATTCCTAGCCCGTCTCCCGTCTCTCGTTCTCCGCCCAAGTCGGATTTGCCTGCCTCCTCGCCTCCTTCTTCCTCGCCTCTCGCTCCTCGCCCGCCTTCTCCGGACCCCCTGGTCACCCATCTGTCCGACCTCTCTCCCCCTGACAATGCAGAAGACGAGGCTGCGAACGACGACGATCCGGCCCCGGTCGTCTTACCTGACGACGACACGGAGGTCACCTCCGACTTTCAGCGGTGGGGGATCGTCGTCAATCTCGCTCACAATGTCGTTATATGCGTTAGCTGCCATAAAGTCGTCCTCGCTAGTTCCGTCTTCACGCACCTGAAATCGCACGGAATTTTTGACCTCCATTCGCGCGATGTCTCGGAAGCCCTCCTTCCGTTCAGTCTCATAGATACACGGGCCGCCATCGTCCCTCGCATTCCTTTTGGCGCCTCTACCATCAATGCTATCTTCGGCCTGAACATCATCGAGGACTGTGCGTTTTGTTCGGTTTGCCATCGCGGGTATGGCTCGGTCGACTCTCTGAAGAAGAACCACTTCGCCGTCTCGAACTGCAACCCCGCTCGCCAGTACCACGAAGGCCCTGGCCAAACTTTCTTCACGAACAACTGTCGCCGCGTCTTCCCAGTCTCTCTCCCTGATCCTGAGCCTGTAGATCCCTCAACGAGTATCTTCGAATCCTTCCTAGCCACGATTATATGCCCGGATCCCGCTCTGGACCCGCTTTCGGAGCCTGCTAATGACCGCTCACTTAGCCGCTTTCTGGCTCGCGAGCGATGGCTCGACGTCGTTCGCAAATTTCCGCCCGCTTACCTTCACTACCTCATCGACGAGGAGCCCGCCCATCCCTTCATGAAGCCCATACGCGAGGTCGCCCACGCATATTTCGAGAAGGTCGTCCAACTCCTCGCGTACACGTCTCCGCACTTCAAACGGCAGATGGCTCAGTACGGCGAGTAAGTCGCCCTCCCCTATGTTCCATTCCATCGCTGACGTCTTTCAGCGGCCCATACGGCGGTGCGTTCAGTACTGTTCGACCGGGCACAGCGCTCCAGTATTCCAGATACTTGGCGCGGCTCGTCGTCTTCGTCCTACGTGCGCAGGAGCCCACGGACTCCATTCACGTTGTGCCTCTCTCCGAAGACCAGTGCATTGCGGCTCAACGTCTCGTGGAGGCTCTCGCTTCGCAGTCGGATGCTGACCTCCACGGTCTCCTCCATACCCTTCTTTATGCTCTCGTCACGAACACGCCTTCCGATGCGACCCTTGACTCGTTCGTCTTCGCCATCTCAAACTTTCAAGTCCTTACCGCCGTCACCGCCCAAGGCTTCTTACGAACCAACGACATACGACGGCTCAACGCTCAGCTAATATACATCATCCGGTCCGTGATGTTCACCGAACTCGTCTCGCGTATGCAGGCCGACAATCTGCAATTCTACCCGTACGTCTTATTTCGTCCCGTCTAATTCTGCATCTCACGTCCTGTGCAGTGTATACCAGCAGCTCCGACCCTTCCTTGTTGCGGAGGCGCACACCCCTTTCGCATACTGTGCCGCGCTCTCTGGCATCCTCGGCAGCATCGAGAGTCAAGAGGATATGATGCCGCAATTTCAATTCAAGGATCTGCAGCGCAAGGTCATCTTGTTCCACGATATCGAGTTCTCGCACGCGTCTGTAGCCACCGTCGTTAGAGGTGCGATGGCCGAGTACGATTCTCTGCTATCGTCGAAGCTCCTCTGCGGTCTTTCCAAGGACGACCCTGCGTTCAGGCTCCCGCAAGATATCTCCAAAATATTCGACCAACCGCAGAACCATACGCCCGGCTTCAGCTTCTTCGAGGATACGCGCAATGACCTATCTCACCTTCAGTACGCTCTCCTCCGTCGTTTGGTCGAGCCGCACGGCTCTTCGGGTCCCTTCCACTACGTGCACAACGAGCGTTTGGTATGGGTAGCGGATAGCTGTTTACGATTCCTCCGTGATGCTTACGAGGCTGAGCAACGCCTTTGCACGATGATTCATCTCTCCTACGGTCAGCCGGCGCGAGGCGAAGAGCTCGCCAGCATGACCTACCGTAACATTCCTGGAGGCTCCGCCCGCGCTGTATACGTCTTACATGGCATGCTCGTCCTTGTGGCGGGTACTGGAAGTGCGCAGAAAAGGTACGTTGTCAGTCCTCGTCTAACACGCAGTTTCATTCAATTCGCTTCACAGACCGGTCGCGACAAGGTCATCGTTCGTGCGCCCGCTCCTGAAGTCGCTCAACGCCTGCTGTTCCACCTCGGCGTCATACGTCCTGCCCAGCACATTCTCGCCCAGCTTTTCCTGCCGAAGGCCGATGCCGACAGGTTCAAGCACTACTTGTTCCCCGGTCTGCACAAGACCACCACCGGCGAGGATGTCTCGGCGTATATGCGCTCCGACATGGAGATGCACCTCGGGGCCCCTATTGGCGTCCGTGACTACCGGCAGCTCGTGTCTGCCCTTACGAGGTGGAACCGCGACCCAAGCTTGGCAGCCCAGTCCGCACACCCCTACGAGCACCAGCGTGGCCACGAAACGGCGACGTTCGACGCCCATTACGGCTTCAGCACCGACATGCTTGGTGTTGGCAACCAAAAAGCGATCGTCACGGACATCGTTGCCAGTACACATTGGCACAATGACACAGGGCTTGGTCCGAAGTTCGTCCAGGACGAGTATCAGCTTGTACTCGCTTCGGACGCAGCTGTCGCCCCATCCTCGGCATCTGCGACGGTCTCAGCAGCCGCAATCGCAGGGGAAATCCAGACCCACCTCGCCGACTGTCTTCCTGCCGCCCTCGTCACTGTTCTTCTGCCGAAACTTGAGCAGCTTCTCACGCGGTTTGCGGCCGTCATAACTTCCGATCGTCCCCCGTCGGTCTTCACAATCACCCCTGCTTCCGTCGTTCAATATCAGGTGCACTCCCATCGCCTACGGGCCCTGCGCGACTTCTTGGTCAAACGGACGGCCTCGTTCACGACACCGTTGCAGGCCCAGGCCCTCGAGGTCTACCTGAGCCGCAAAGTTAACATGCTGGTTTGCCTCCCTACAGGTCACGGCAAGTCCCTCCTCTTCTTTCTGCCTGCGAAGATGTACGAAGCCGATCGTACGACTGTCGTGATTGTACCGCTGCATTCCCTTCACGCTGACTTTGCTCGTCGCGCACGCGGGCATTCCATTCCCTATCACCACTGGCAACCGGGCCAGGCTCTCGAGCTTTCCTACGTTCCTCTAGTCCTCGTATCGCCCGAACACGCACGCACTTCTGCTTTCTATGATCTGCTTTCGCAGCTGAACTCTCACGGACGCCTGCTTCGCATCGTCCTGGATGAAGCTCATATGTTGCTAACTCACGCTTCTTTCCGGGAGTGCTTCAGCCAGCTTGCCCATGTCCGCCGGCTCTCCATACCCATCATATTCCTTACTGCTACCCTTGCTCCCCATTGGGAATCCGCGCTCTTTGCCAAACTCGCGGTCAACCAGGTTGTCGCCTTCCGATTGCCATCTGTAAGACCGGAGATCGCCATCCGTCTGTTGACCTTCGCAAGGCAAGACGAGCGGGACGCGACCCTCCTGAAGAACTTCCTCGACATCGCTCGGGCCCGCCGTGGTCTCATCTTCTGCAAACGGGTTTCAGAGGTCAAACGCATCGCCGACCTCTTGGACGTTCCTGCGTTCTACTCATCCCTCGAGGACGACCGCAAGACTCACCTTCTGAAGGAGTTCACATCTGGCGCATATCGCGCCCTCGTCTCAACCAGTACTCTCGGCGAGGGCATCGATATTCAAGGCCTTGGCTTCGTATGGCACTACGGCCTCCCGTTCGAGCCAGCCAGCTATTCCCAGCAGGCTGGTCGCATGTGCCGAGACAAGTCATTTGGCAGCAGCGTAGTTTACCTGCTGGAGAATGAGCAGCTCACCGTTCCTGAACCCGACATCCTCGGTGTCGCTGTCATCAACAGTTGGGCCCGAGAAGATATATGCCGTCGAATACGCCTCTCAGAGTTCCTGGACGGTGCTCCTACACAGTGCACTGTCCTGTCCAACCCGAACCTTTGCGACGTTTGCGAGAGGCACGTCAACGACGGCCCCGTTCAGCCTCTCATTGGCTATCCCGCGCCCGTCCTCGCCAACCTTGACACGATGGAATTTCCAACATCTCTTGACTCTGAGACGCTGCCTTACGACCACGCTGAAGCCTCCATCCCTAATCGGTACGGTTGGTTACTTCTCGCAACCACGCTCGCTAATTCATTCCACCTCACAGCCTGTCTCCCTTACCTGCCAGTCTCTCACCCTCTCCGTCCTCCCGCTCTGATAACGCTCAGTTTTCATTGCCCCAATTCGACCCGCCATCTGTTCCTTCGTAAGTCTTTTTTTCCCGTCGTGTTAGTGCGACGCTGACGCTACACCCAGTAGCCAATCAGCAGTTCACGACGCGCCCCAACCGTCCTACGCCGCACACTCGCAGCCGGCTCCCACAGCGGTACGCTCACAGTACGTGTTTCACTTTCTGAGTGCATGCCATGCCCGTTCATTCCCCGTCGCCGTTCCAGTGATCTGAGGCTCCCAATTTCTTCAACGTAAGTATATTTCCGACTCCTCGTTTCTTCACGTCACTCAACTCGACTTCAGGCCGCCAGACATGGAGCTCTACTTCAAACCTGTCTTCGTGCCGAAGGGTCTCGCTGTCCCGGCGACCTCGACACCAACTATGGGTCGCCGTTCTCGCGAGGAACAGGCCTTGGATTATTCAGATGGATCCCCGGATGTCCAAGCCCTCCCCACACCCGTGAGCAAGAGACGTCGCGTGACATTCCGTCCTCCTAGCCCTGCGTCTCCTCTGTCTGATCGTCGTCGACGGACTTCACCCATCACAGACGTGTTACATCCAATCGTCCCCGCTAGGTTTGCGACACAGCCAGCCTCATCTTCACGCGCTATCGCCAGCAGCTCTCGTACGCCCCTTGACTCCCACCGGCGCTCGTTACCGGGTACTGAGGGGCCTGATGTCGACGGTTCCCCTACCGCTGTCGGCACGCGTGTTCGTCTCGATGCTGCGCGGGCAGAGGCCAAGAGTGTGGAGCAGCGGACAATCTCTCGAGCCATCGATGCCGCCCTCAACCTTCTGCAGAGCTCTTGTTCCAAGTGCTACGTCCTTGGTCGCTCCTACACGCACCGGTCATGCACTGCGCAGTTCACGAGCGCCCGGGACGCGGACTGGCAAACGTTCAAGCGCGAGATGAGGCTTCCGAATGGGTACTGCTTCACATGCCTCCGACCTCAGGTACGTCTGAAATACCCCACACCGGCTTGGACCTCATGCGTTCATCTTCACAGAGCAACAAGGAATTCTTCGGTTGGCATGTCTTCGAAGCCCCTTCGGACTGCGTCTTCGGCGACATCATCAAGCCCGCCGTCTACGTTGTATGGGCAGACCCTGGCCTTCGCAGCGCCCTTTTCGCGGAGCGAATCCTGAACAACCGTCCGCGGACTGTCGAGGAATACATCGCAGCCTGCCTGGAGATGCACCCAACTTTTGACATGATGACATATCTCATCATCTTCGATTGGGCTTGCAAGCGTGTCGCAACTTAAGTAAGTCGTTCAACTCTTGCTTCTACCCACCCCGCTCAACGCTGCGCAGGATCCTCATCGCCGTCGACATTCCCTGGCGCTTCCGTGTGTACTTCTTCACATTTCCGTCTAGTTTGTCACATTTCCTTTTCGGTCGTTTCCCGAGTCTGCCACGAGCGTCGCGCAAGCGCTGTGGCTTGTTCTTTCACCATAACCGTCTTTTCGTTGTCCTGCGTCCCCCTTCCCTCGCGCAACATGGAGCTCCTTCACAATACTTTACGTACACAAACCGGCCGTCTTGACCGTAAGCAGCTTTCGTTGCCGGTAGTTACTTACCAGCTAAGTTGTCGTAGAGCAATGGTACTTCACGGACGCGAAGTTTGCCGCCCGACTGGACGCTGAGCATTGGATCTCAACGCCTAACATGACGTGGATACCTACCGTTTCCCTCGATACGATCGAAGTACGTGCACGTCAGGATGGTTGGTACGGCCCGGCGGACCCTACACGCTGGCCACAGCTCTTCCACCCCAAGTACACGCACCTGTGCGTGCTCCCGAACCCACGCATGGGCGTCTCCGAGCTTCCGATCTCAGTGCTCGACAACGTCGGTCCAGAGAGTTGGCGACCCAGCAACACCGTCGACGAGCACGGCAACCCCCTCGTCCTCCTCCATCCCGACCGACGTGTTGTCCTCGCAGCCGACCTCGAGTTTCTGCACATCCAGGTGTCCCAATTCATCGCAGAGGATGCGGCGAAATCCGACCGCCGCGGTCCAGAGAACATCCATGCCGCCCTCAAGAACTTCGCGCTCTCCGCTTCCGAGGCGGTTGAACGGATGCGCAGCATTCCCGTCACCTTACAACGCTTCCTGTGGGAGATGCGTGAGTATCAACGCTACTACGCCGAGGCCTCGGCGTACATGGATTTCGTCAACACGTTCAACGCTCGTATGGTCGACACGAAGGTCCACCAGACCGATTCAAGTCTCATGGGAGCCATCTCCGCTGACCCTGCAGTTGTGTCTCGGCTCTACCGCGCTGGGATTCCCGTCTGGTATATCCGTCGCTATTCGCAGCTCGTCCCCGAGCTCAAGATTCAGGAAGTCGTCGAGCCGTCTCTACCGCAGGAGCGCGGTGTCATGATCTTAGAATACGATCCTCCATACCCAACGCAATACGTTGGTCC